GGGACCACTATATTGGAATAGCTCTTTATTATTTAGTTATCTGTATTTTTTTTCTTTTTAACTTTTAAAAAAAATTCTTATTCTTTAGATATTTATCAGATAAGCTTTCCTTGAAGTCTTTAAAATGTTCCATATAAATGAAGAAAGATAGAAAAAAAATCCTTGGTGGCTCATTTCCTGAGATTTGTTGATTGGAGCAGAATGTATGATGTTTGCTACAAGACATCTGTTCTAAGTTTAAGAACAGTCATTTATTAATTTTGACTAATGTTTTTTTTTTTTTGTTTTTTTTTTTTTCTTGGTTTAAGGTAGCATATTGTGTGGATTGAATTTGTGTACATGACATAATAACCATGAAAAATTATATGATTAATTACATATGGATCAAAACATCTCCCTCGGACCAGCATGCCTGTTTGCTTTGCACTATAGTATTTGTTCATTCTGTGAAAGGATTAATGCATATACAAAAATAAGTGTGTTTTTATATATATATATATATATAGTCATCTACAGACAGATTGTTTCACTGTATCACAGCTCATCAGTGAGCTAGACATCCAATTGCCTCAAGCTGGGATTAAAACCCAACTAATTTGGCATCAGTTGAAGATTTTAACTCTGAGCTATCAGCGTCCAGTCGAGAGGAAGGCTAATTTTTATGTACTTATTCTTCAAATAAACACACCAATGACCAAGAGGGCTCAATTTCTGGAAGAGCTTTGCAGTATTAGCAGTAATAGTCATTATTTACAAATTCACACTTTCTCCCAAGAGTGAGCAGAATTAAATTTTCCAGGGGCATATATAAAATTTTTGAATAAAATATATATGGTTTGTTCACAAAGTCTCAGACTTTATTTTTTCCTGCCAAAATTAAAATCCTTTGAGTAGGAGATGTTGCCACACTTCCTGTGCTTGCTTGAAAATTTTCATGCCAGTAGTCACTTCCCAGCTGTTACCAGCTAAAGTACAGATATGTAGTGCGCACTTCATTTTCATTTTCAAGCAAATGACCAGATGCATTGAGTAGAGATATTGCATCAATTTTGGCCAAAAGCCTGATGATACTTAAGCTCAAACTCTCCAGAAGATTCAGCAGGCCTTTGGTGATGATACTTTGGACAAAACTCAGATCAAGGAGTGGTACAATTGCTTCAAACATGGCCACAATTCAGAGAGTGAGGCACACTCAGGCAGGCTATCCAAAAGCTGAAACAAGGAGCCAAGTGAGAAGGTTGACCAAATAGTCTTGGAAGACTGTTGTGTAACAATCCAAGAAATTGTTAGAATAAGGACAGTGTATTCCATTTTAACGGTGGATTTGTGCATGCGGAGAGTGTCAGCAAAATTTGTCCCCAAGATGCTGGCAGAGCAGCAGAAGTAACCCCCACATGGAAATTGCTCAGGACATACTGGATTGTACAAACCACTACCCAGACTTCAAGTTAGACCATCTTCACTGGTGATGAGACATGGATTTATTGTTATGACCCAAAAACCAGCTATCTTCAGTGAAAACGAAAATCCAACAAGTGTGTATTACACATTTGTACTCTAGGCGTAGCAGCTGGGAACTGATGCGGCCTAGTAATGCAAAAATTTTCACCTATGTGTAAGGTAGGGTGGTGTCACCCCCAAAGGATTTTACCCCACAGCCTTTGTTTTGGCTAGAAAAAAAAAAATAAAGACTACAAAGTCTTTTGGTCAGATTTTGAGAAGTTGGCCAGTCTGGGAAATTTCATCATCCTTTTGTACATTGATAGATTCAAAAAAAATTTTTTTTTTTTTTAATATGTAAATTAGATATTTAGGTAATTTGTTATATGATGAGTATGATTTATTAAATAAATATATCATAACTTTAGTTCACTCTATATTTTTTAGTCCGGTTTCTAGGGATCCCTCCCTGAAGCAGCATCTCCTCATGGCACTAAAATGGTAGGGTGAGCAAAGGCTCTAATGCTTGCGTAAAAACTGGTTGAACCAAGCTATTTCTGAAAATATCAGTCATGTGAAAATCTGTAGATCCTTATTTTGCTTCACATGCTCTAATGATTATGAAAATGGAAATGCTAGAAAATTTTGACTTTTCTAATCATTGCCCACTGTCTTTACTGCCACTCAACCATTTTGGGGCACATTTTTCTTTTTTAGGATTTCTTGATCTTGGCTGGTTGATATTAACTTCATTGTTTAATAAAAAAGACAACAAAAAACTGGGATAAATATTCAAACATGTACATAATAATATTTATAGTAATAAGAAATATAATGAAATACGAATGTACACAATTGTAAGGATGATCAAGAGTTAACTGTACACTCAAAACCACTACTGAATCATGTTTGGGACAAGTCAATTGAGATTTGAAAAGCAAGTTTCAGAAAATGTGGTTTGTAAAATATCGGTTTTTTCCCCAGGTTTTGTTTGCTTGATTTTGATATTCACACAACTGCTTCCCACTGTAAAAAGTATAATGATAAAAAAAAAAAAAAAATCACAAGGTGACAATTGAAATTCTGTGGAAGGAAGTGAAAATTCTGAGGTTACAAGAAGAATTTGACTTGCGATTTTGAAAACAATTATTCTAACAATGCATTAACATGGTATGTCAAATACTATTTTGATAATTGCAGAAATTAATTTCCAACATCAATGTTTGAAAAATATTGCTTAACATGTAGCTAACCTTCAGCTCACTGCATTAATAATATTACTTCCTTTCCCACTTCATTCTTTTTCATGGCGTCTCAATTGCAGTATTCTTATTGTTAATTTCACTCAGTTGTTTTTGTTGCCTTAGCAGGATATGGCAACACAACTATGACATTCAAACTCACTATTGTTCAGGGATCAATTATCTTCAGTGACAGGATAAACTTTTTGTACAGCAGTGATATATATAGTGCTAAAGCTATTAGAAGCTGATGAAATTTTTAGATTCAAATGTTGCATGCCATAGTTGAAAGAAGGTTGTATCCAAAATGTTCATAGAATTTGGCTATCATAAAGGAAGTAAATATTGTATATGCTTTTGCTGCTCCCTTTTTTTTAGATTCCTATATATATATATATATATATATATGTATGTGTGTGTGTATGTATGTAAAATATCCAAGTATAGGATTGGTGTATATGGAATAAATTCCAATAACCCAAAAATATTCATGAAAGAGTGCTCAATACAGAGTAGAGCAAATATAATTTATTTGAAAATTATAACATAACTATGTTATACAATCACTACAAAAGTAGCCATTTTGTTTCAACACTTCTGGTGTCTTATCAAGTGATGGTGTTGAAGCAAAATGGCTATTTTTGTAGTGATTTTATAACATATTTATGTTATAATTTTGGAATAAATGAATAAATATATGAAAAAATAATGTTGCTGAAATTCAAGGAGATAGGAAATGCCTTGTTAATGACTGGAGAATTCATGTAAGCATTCTTGACACAGTAGTGTTATTAGTTGAATCTGTGAATTTTCCATGAGAGTTGGCAATATGATTTCATTCCTCTACTCTTTGCTAGCCCTTTGATCTGTATCTTCTCATTCTCTTCCTTATCCTTTCTCATCTCCATTGCTTTTTCATATTCTTATATAAATATTATACAAACAGATTTTTAATTTTGTATGCAAAAAATGGAATAAGGAAATCAAATATTTTTTTACAGCATCTTTTATCTTTGTTTTACTCTATCTTACCATAAATAATTTGAATGCATTGAAATTTTTCTTTCATTACCTTTCCATCCCTACATAGATTTTGATGTTTCACTCATTGTTTCTTTATTTTCAGTTATAAAGCATACCTGTCTTTGTCCTCATTCTCATATCCATCATATGTACATACACAAAGACACACACACACACACATTTTTACCTGATGAATGGGAAAGCCTTGCAACTTTGTGTCATACTGTAAATGTAGAGATATGTGTATTTATTCATATGTACTTTATAGCTCTATTTAACTTCAATGAGCACTGTTTTGTCTACACCATAAATTAGTTATTTGCTCACCTGTATGTGTACATAATCACTCATATGCTGACTGGATCTCTTTATGATAATTTCTGCATCTATCTTTTTCTCTCTCTCTCTCTCTATATATATATATATATATATATATATATATATTCATCCACAGACATTGTCTTATGGTATCACAGCTTATCAGTGTGTGTGGCTAGACATTTGATTGCTTCAAGCTGGGATCAAAACTCAACTGATTTGGCATCAGTCAGAGACTCATGCATGTATGTGTATAAAGCATAATATATATATATATATATATATATTTTAAATCCACATTACAACCAAAAACGTTTGTGGTTTCTCTCTTCTTTTTAATATACACACTTTTCTCTCATTGGAACTACTATAACTTCTTCCTTTTATATATATATATATATATATATATATATATATATATATATATATATATATATGTGTGTGTTGGGTGCAAAAGAAACTTCCTATTTAAAATTGTTGATCACATTATTATTTATTGGTTGATTTTCATAAAACATGTTTTATTTTGAACAATATAATGATAGAAATCGAGTACAGTGATAAAATTCTACGTAGGCACTAGTGTTGTCCACCTGTGTGGGTAGTTGTCTGGGTATATACTTGGAACATTTTCTGTACCTTTTCTTTTGCACATTTTCTCTCAGTCTTGATGTTTAAGGATGACAACCTCTTCTGTAGGTATCTACTTCAAATTCCATACTCATCAGCTTGGAATGACAATTGCTGATGGTTTTGGCATCTACTGAAAAACAAGGTCCATGAACACCATGCCACCATCTTTGCACTTGTACCATGGACTGCCGCACTTCATAACCTAATGGTAGTTGAGCACACTAATGCAGTATCAGGGATTGTACTGTTCTGGGCTAGACTTAGCAATGAAATTCTAGCACTTTCAGGATCACAATGTTTAATTCAAATGTGATATTAACAAAAGTTATAAGTAATTTTCAATAGGAAATTTCTTTCACCAACTATATATTTTCTCTTTTCTATTTTTTTTTTCTGCCTTTGGTCTTTTACACCCTCTTTTATCTCTCTCTGTCTTCCTTTGGACTTTTACACCCTCTTTTATCTCTCTCTGTCTTCCTTTGGTCTTTTACACCCCCTTTTATCTCTCTCTGTCTTCCTTTGGTCTTTTACACCCCCTTTTATCTCTCTCTGTCTTCCTTTGGTCTTTTACACCCTCTTTTATCTGTCTTCCTTTGGTCTTTTACACCCTCTTTTATCTGTCTTCCTTTGGTCTTTTACACCCTCTTTTATCTGTCTTCCTTTGGTCTTTTACACCCTCTTTTATCTGTCTTCCTTTGGTCTTTTACACCCTCTTTTATCTGTCTTCCTTTGGTCTTTTACACCCTCTTTTATCTGTCTTCCTTTGGTCTTTTACACCCTCTTTTATCTGTCTTCCTTTGGTCTTTTTACACCCTCTTTTATCTGTCTTCCTTTGGTCTTTTACACCCTCTTTTATCTGTCTTCCTTTGGTCTTTTACACCCCCTTTTATCTGTCTTCCTTTGGTCTTTTACACCCCCTTTTATCTCTCTCTGTCTTCCTTTGGTCCTTAACATTCTCTGTTATCTCTTTTCCTTTCCTTCACCTTTCCAAATTCCTTCTCAGTTAATATTTTTTTTACTTAGAAAGTATAGGTTCTATACTATACTTTGATCCTAAGTAGAAAAGCATAACAGTCATACATAAACAAGTAGAATAATAGTATAGATTCTTGGTCAGTGATCAGATACTGATTCTATACATTGATCTCATCCTGGGTAAGATGATAAACTACATCCAGCAGCAAGGCCTCTGATCAGGAGGTTTTGAGTAGCGTGGAACCACCTCTTAATTGCTGGTGTTCCCAGGTCCACCCTGACCCAGGGTGGTAGCACCTATTAGGGTCCCAGCTATGGGCAAATAGTTAACTATTAACAGCAATACGTTTTTGAAAAAAGTTATTACCAGCAATACAATTTTGAAGGAAAAATATTACCAGAAACAGATTTTTGACAAAACAAAATATTACCAACAATAAAAAAAAAGCTGTTGGCATTAAATAACCCATTGAGGTTGATATGCTGTAAAGCAAAATAAACCAAACCAATCTAAACCAAAGATACATATTCTATTCACATGAATCTATTATAAAAATGTTGTTGGCATTAATAACCCATTGAGGTTGATATGCTGTAAAACAAAATAAACCAAATCAAATCAAATCTATACATTGATCCCAGTTAGAGAGTTTAATGATCATATCTGCTAACAAGCAGAATCATTATTGGATATTTAGTTTCTTTCATTAAATGTGATAGACCATGTTCTTCTAATGACCATTTTTCCATCGCTATAAGTGAAGCTATTTTCATTGTTGTAGTGCTTTAATTTTATCAAGTCTTGTCTTTTCTAAATAGTCATTTAGTTTTTTTATTTATTTTTATTTTTTTGCAAGAGACAACGCCCAAAAATAAAACAACTTAATTTTAGACTTCTGTCATTTATTCTTACAGACTCCTTGTGAAAAATGCAGCTGCAATCATGTTGAGGGATGCTGCTGCATTTTTGGTAGAAACTGAATTTTTACAGGGCAGAGGTACTTATCTGACACCCAAAATAGATTCCCTTACACTGCTGAGGGAACTCCATCTGCCCTAATTATCCATCCCTGGGGTTGGGAATGAGAGAAGAGTGCATTATACCTTTTGCAAGAGCATTAGCATAAACACAAATTGTCTTAGTTGGTTTGCTGATACCATTCTCCATACCATTAAGTTCCTTCCCCTACTGTACTTCCTTTAAACCATTCATATATGTTTGCCATTATTATCAGTTAATGTTCCTGAAGGATTATTAGTTTTGTTGATAGAAGAGACAATATAAAGTTCTTGACTTACAAAAATACTTGGACTTTTCACAAATCTAAGAATTATGCTATATAGCTTTGGTTAATCTAAAACAGTATAGAAAACAATAGTGTGTGTATATATATATATATATATATATATATATATATATATATATATATATATATATATATATTAAGAAATGGACAAGGTCCGACAATTTATTTATTAAAGACATTTTTTATGTTTAACGTTGTTATTTATAGATACAAGTATTTAAGCAAATGCTCTGTTTATGATAAACAGTATTAAATAACATTTACCGGCCTGAATGTCCGAGAAATTTTCATAGAAAATATTCGTTCTTTGACAGGATTCGAACCTGCATCCTATACAGAACCGTCATTTACGATGACGTGCCTAACCTCTGGGCCACAAAGTTTATAAGCAGTAAATTCGACCTTGTTTACCGAAAGGTTCTTTGGCCCAGAGGTTAGGCCCATGACGGTTTAGGATGCAGGTTCGAATCCTGTCAAAGAACTAATATTTTCTATGAAAATTTCTCGGACATTCAGGCCTGTAAATGTTATTTAATACTGTTTATCATAAACAGAGCATTTGCTTAAATACTTGTATCTATAAATAACAACGTTAAACATAAAAAATGTCTTTAATAAATATATATATATATATATATATATATATATATATAAAATAATTTTTTTTTTTTTTGATCATTTCACCCCAAACAAGGTGTGAATGCCAATAGCATGCAGGGGGTTACAGCGAGTGAAAGAGAAAACACTGAGAATAGGGTGGATTTGAGGAAAGGACAAAAAATGAATGGGATTCAAAAAGATAGTTGATGGCGATTGATGTTATATTTAAATTTTTGCAGGTTGTAGTTTTCAGGGAAGCAAGTAAATGAAAAGTAGTTCCACAAGTGGGAAGTGTAAGAAAACGAACTTGGAACAGAAGTGGTTGCATTTAACTATTTCAGTCGTAAACTGGTGAGACCTAGATGCTAATCTAGTCGCATGCTTAAATTCATGTAGTCGGGGCACCAGGAAAAAAAACAAAAGAAAACTTTCTGATGGATCCATGACCAAGTAAGGTGACACTGACTGTGGCCTTACCTGGAGAGGGATGGGCCCTGCCCAATCTACTTTGCTCAAGACATGCTATGGATGAATGAATACCGACCAAGACGTGGTCAGGTGCTCAGCTGTACAGCAGCCCTACAGCTACACTTAGGACGGATGTCTCTTTCTTTTTTTGGTTGGGCTTTCTTAGTGAAAATTTAGGAAAGGGGCTGTCTATGTCTGCCACAGGCTGACTAGTTCAATGTGGAATAAGCAGACCCAGAAACAGTCAGTGGCTGAAGAGTAAGGTTTGATTTTAGGGTGGTGTTATTGTGATATGGATGACATGTTTTTTTTTCCTCCTTGTCCTCTTATATATTAGGTCAGTTCCATGTCCATTCTTGTACACAAAGATGGCTTCCTAGATTTCACTGATTGTGTTTGTCAGATCACTGACAATGATCAAGTTGACAAGAGTTGATGGATTTCTTCAGAGATTTTATATACATTTGTATTTGTTGTATGAGTTAATGAATATCTGCTTTGAAATTTGATTTCCCTATTGAGTTTATTTTGTATGCCACTTGGTTTCTTTGGGGATTGATCTTGGTTAATCTAAAACACTATATAAGACAGTAAGTAATAATATCTTTATGTATATAAATTATGGGCATGTGGCTGAGTGGTTAGAACGTTCACATTTTGTCAATGAGATGTAGCTTCGAATCTCATCATAGTCGATTTGTCGGGAAGGAGACATCCTGATGTTATTGGACTGGAGAGGTTGATCCCAGCATGTGGCACCTTTGGAAAGTGCCTGAAAACCATACCACAGATTGACTCAAGCTTTGTGAGTGAAATTGGGTAGACGGAACCCTGTACTAGCATGAAGTCGGAACTCATTGTGGCCAAGTTCTTAAGTGGGCTGGCCTTGTTCAAATTGTTGATCATGCTAGATAACATGCTCTTCCCAAAAACTCTAACTAAGGTTTGCTCAGCATAGTTGCAGTATAAATCACAGGTTGGCTCTGTGGGTGTTGAATGAACACAAATGTCCCTATAGGGATTGTCTAGCCACCCAGGTAGACAGGTATCCTTGAATATGAGTATATATATATATATATATATATATATATATATATATATATATATATATATATATATATATATATATATATATATATATATATATGCATATATATATATATATATATATATATATATATATATATATATATATATATATATATATATATATATATATATATATATATTATAAGTTAATGAATATCTGCTTTATATATAATATGATTTCCTATTGATATTTCTATGAAATATGACTTAGTTACTTTTGGGGATTGATTTTGGTCTTGGTTAATCTATAACACTATATCTGAGAGTGGGCTGAAAAGTTCATTAGCTGACTATGAAGGGGTGATGTTAGGACAGTGGAATCTTAGTCCTTATTCTGTAGGGGGTGCCTCTAGTTTACTTTGTGTATCTTATATTAAGATTGTGGCTACCAATAATAATTCCTGTTAAGACTTCTAATTCTCTCAAAACCACCCTCCTGTAAAGTCTGGTGATAAGACATATCCTTGTCTTACCACCTTTTCTATTTTTGAAATATGCTGTACTGAATAAATGCATTGTGGCATAAATGATAACAGCTCAGAATGAGAAATCAGAGAACTGAGTTCAAATTCTAGTTGGGTTCATTACCTTGACTTATATGCAAATGCCATTAGAAAAAATGAATCCATCAATTCTCCCCAGCTACACATTATATGGCAGGAAAGACTGGGTCCTATAGCCTTGGTTAGCAACCAGTCTACTGCATATCACATATAGCACTTAACTGAGTGACTGTACTAAATAAGAAAATGAAATACCACCTCCCCCAATATATACCAATATATAAATATACAAAGATACTACTTATGACCTGTTGTATGTTGACCTGTAGTTCTGAAACTGGATTTGTTTCTTCAAGTCTGACCAGACCACCAACCCCTTTTTTTCTAGGACAAAAAAAATCTCCCATTGCTAATTGGGAGCTTTTGATTGGCTATATTGGTCACCTGACTAGCTAAGCCTGATAAATTTTTATTAGACTGATCATAGTCCAATTTTTAGTACTATAGTTAACTTGTAAGTATTCAATTGTTCATTATTTTCTGTTTCTCCGTTGTAAGAAAAAAGACTTTAGAAGCTACTGAATGCAACAAATTTCTTCCAAGTTACATTTAATAAATCTGCATTGAAGAATATATTAAGCAAAAAAAAATTTCTAATATACTTTTTAGAAATTTACCTTTTTTTTTTTTTTGTTCCTGGAAGAAGCATGATCTTTATCTCTGCTGAAAGATGGTTTTGGTTTATTTCTGGTGCTGCAGTTCATTCTTGACCCCCTTCATCATGCAAAGAGGTGGGAGGTGTTGACATGTCAGATGTGCTTTAACTGCTAGGGCCCAGTTTACTTGTCTATATCGCTTGCTGCTGACTGTGTACCCTGCAGGTAGTTTGTCTGTAGGTAAAAAGATGCTTACCTAGACTTTTGGCAACTGCTGCTCTATGACTGATGATGTAATTTTGTGTAGCAGCTTCCTTTTACTGACTGTTCTCACGCATCAGAGAAACTCTGGCTGCCTTGGTTGGTTCAGCTGGGATGGGTTGGTTGTGTTTGTCTTCTTGCTTTTGCC